GAGATCACAGTGAAATTATCATCTCTCATCTGGACGGAACAGATGAGCAAAGAGCACAGTTTGGTATAATTAGGAAAAGGAACCTGACACCAGTTGATCATTTTTATTGTAAGTCTGATCCTGCTCCTGTTGTAGCCAGCTGGAGCCTTGCCACACTGATCTCAGCAGGATCACAACTCAACTTACTGTACACAGTAGTGATGGTGTGAAACTGCTATGGCACTGAATTTTGCCACTATAAACATACAGCAGTGATCCACAGTGTAGATCCAAGTATTTCTGCTGTAACACTGAGTAGTGAAGTTCATGGTCTTTTGACATAGACTCCAGCAGGATCAAACCCACTCCATGCTTGATTCTGCAAATGGAGAGAAGAGGGACAGTCAGCTGGCCATCACACTTTTGTTCTTAGATGCTTGGTTTGGTGAGAAAGCGGTAGGAGATGTGCTTTAAATCAAATCACTGAAATATCCCTGCACAGCTAATATATTCCTGCCTCCATCCCTTGCGAGGAAGCAGGGGAAAGCTTAGCTTGAAGGTCTCTGTGAAATTCACAGGACATGTGATCTTCCCTTTGTGTCACATAAACACCACAGAGGGGTTATGGTGGATTGTCACCAGCAGCGTGGTACAGCGTGGGGAATATAAACCCTCCACTTTTGACATTTTCCCTCCCTGGCTTCGGAAGGCATTTCTCAAGGGCTACATGAAATCCAGGGGCCGTCAGATGCTGTATTTTATCTGCTTTGGCTGTAGGGCACTACTGCCCTATTTTGGCCCAGAACAAATGTTCACTTTGTCATTAGTCCAGAAAACAAAATCTCACAGAGGTGCTGAGCTGCAGGTTAGCTGTAGAGGCTCCTAAATCCATCCTACGGGAATCTGTAACCTTCTGAAAATGCCTTCTCAGATCTCGCCTGTTCACAGTGTGATTCAGGTTTCTTAAAAGATTCACCAAGGATTTGTGAAAGATGGCCAGAGCTCTAAGTCCAGAAGGAAAATGCACGAGCACCTCTTGTGCGAAGGGAATTTGCAATGTGCATTTTCCCTGAAGAACAACGGAGCGGGCAAGACACTCACAGACCTTGAGAATGGCTCCAGCTCCATCCGCTGGAGAAGCACTTGGAAGGCAAATTACATTTCAACTGTGCTCAATACATCCCTGGGCAACTCCAGTGGCCCTTGTTTCATTTTCGACAATGGTACAATGAACAAACAGCTACCTCAGTTTGGGAATTCACAGTCCCTAACGCCTGTGGGAAAGCCGCCCTCAGCAGGTCGCAGGCCACCTCTGCTGCAACGTTACCCAGATCTTCATTTTAAGATAAGTGAGTCTCTTCAGATCCAAACAGTTTCGTAATTTTATACTTCTAAAGATGGTTAAGCTGTTTGTAATACTGCATGTCCTAATGGCAAAAGTGCCTCTGTGCTGGAGGGCAGTACCATGAGATAATTGACCGTGGCACCATTATGTAACTGTGCCTTCAGCTCTGGGTGTATAAATCACATCACAGTCAATTATCTCACCAAAGGGCCCCCAACAGTGGGCTCTATTGCTTAATTAGGCTCTTGAGGTGAAGCCAACCTCGTGTCTGTGCAGTTGCCAGATGTCTTAATGCGAGTGGATGGGATGGGGCGGGGTAGGTTGGATCTGCTTTGCAGGCTGAAGTAAAGAATAAGAAAGTCATTGTGTTCCCCTACAGGAACAGTGGGGATGGCTTGAAGGGGCTGGCACCCTCTCAGCTGCCCTCTCCAGAGGCAGGAAAAGCCGCATTCAGACATATCAGGCACTTTCTTTCAGGAAAGCTTGCTGTTACTATAGGGAGGGGGAGGGAAATGTGTGTTCCAAAGATATGGGCACAAATGTGACTCGGGAACATGTTGGTCTCACTTGGAGCACTTTGTTCCTTACAAGGAGAAATGATGTTTGACACCCCATTGCCATCAGTCACAGACTAAAAGTGAATGAGAGCTGGGGAGCGAAGAAAGCAAAGAGTCTGGAAGTCCCTTCCCTTTCTCCAAGCCCAAGGGAACAGGAGTGATGGCTCACCCTGACCCTAAGGAGGCTTCAGCCTTCAGAACTTGGAGATCCAGGTTGGCATGATCCATCCACAACTTCTGTCCCTACCAATACGTCAGCACAATGCTCCTCTGCTATTTATTCCTCTTTTCAGTCCCACTTCATCACCTTTTCCTCCACCTCATCAATCCTCCACTTCCCCACCATGCCATCACTGGCAGAACTGTGCTCATTTCCAACAGCCACAAACTGGTCCCATCAGTCCTACCCTGGCTGCCCACCTCTCCTTTCTCCTTTGTGCCTCTCCACACCAGCCCCTTAGCTCAAACGCAGACCTTTTAAGGACACGGAGGGTCGTTTTTATGGATGCTTCCTTGTGAATGTTTGAACAGCCAGTGAACAAAAGAATCGGAGGGATCTTCAGCAACCAGCTGGAAGCCTGTTCCAGGAGGAGAGGAACTGTTAAGTTGGAAGCCATTAAGAGAATGAAGCAAAGGGGTCGGCTGGAAGTGTGCTTAGATTTATGCAACCCTTTTTGTTATAGTAATAATGGTAGTGACGATGGAGGACTGCACTGCATGAGGACTGCACGACAAGCGGATCAGCAGAGAATGAAGCGGAAAACAGCTGCAGAGCAACCACGGTGCTAGGGAATGTGGCTAAGTAGGTGTGAGTATGCATCTGTACCAGCATGTGGGGAGCTCTGCGGTGCTGAGGATGCAGGTGATTTTTGGTGCTGGGATTATCAAAACGATGTCTGTTTCCTGATGGATAATCTACTGCGTGCAGCTTGGTCAGGAGAGCGACAGTGGTCCAACTCACCTTGGAGCAGGGTATAGAAGGCTCCCGATGCCGACAAATTGGTTGTTATCGTAACATCATCCTTGCTGGAGGTTTCCACTTGGACATGCACAGAGCTGTCGGTATCACTGCGGAAGCTGCTCACTTGGCCAGTAGGGAAGGTCACGTTGGTCAGGCGGCCAAAGCTGTCATACCTGAAAGGGAAGATGGAGTGAGGTCAACAGCATCAACAGAGGAGTGGGATACAGGAACCATCCTATAAAGCAGAGACCAAGACTTGAAGTCTTCACCTAGATTTTTCCCAGACAAAAACGCATTGTCACTCTGTCAGACTGTCTCGACTTTTTTGGCTTCATGAGAAGAAAATCACAGCTTTTAGCTGAAGAAAATCAAGCAAAGAACAGAAAATGACTAAATAAGTATTAGCCTGTATTTTAACAATATTTTTCTGATACTTATCACCTGCACTATGCTTCTTGTTTACAAGAGTAACTTTATTTCCTATCCCATGTGCTTTGATTTATGGAAAAGCACTGGCTCCTGCATCCTGTCTAGCAGAACTAGGAGTTTCTGAAGGCCATCAGCTGTTTTGTCTGGTTGTGTCCTGAGCTCTTCAGCAATTTCCCCCCCCCGCCCACATCTTATTTTAAAAGCTAATATTAAGGAAGCAGCAAGGACCTGCCAGATTGGCCACACCAGGTAGAGAACTGTCCTTTGTGAACATGGTGTAGAGCCCTGAGCACAGCTGAGACCCCTATGTCTACCTTTTGCTGTTCCTAGGACCATCTGGAAGAACTGGTTTAAAAGTGTAAAAAAGCAGTCCAGTTTTCACCCCTACTGTGTCCTTGTTTTTTTCAATGAGGAAGTCAACATGAGCACCATCTGGGAAGGTTTCTGTGATGTGGACACCTGTGTACCAGGATCCAGATGAAAAAAGCTACGCACATGCAGGTCTCACACCAGTTAACAAGCTGGGGGGTTATTTTTCAATAAAAAGGAGAAGCAGGCACTTGTGCCTCGAGGTCTCCTGAGTTGACAGAGCAAACACACCGTCCTGCCTCCCATCTGTGGCACGGCAAAAACAGTGCTCTTGGGTCACAGACTGAGCTAAGAGCAGAGGGTTGCCAAGGCACCTTTGCAGTGAGGCTATTGTAGACTGAAATGGAGAGCAGCTGGAAGCTCTACTGGCTTCTCTCTGGAGAGCTGTTGGACCTTTGGATGAGATGGACCTTCAGGGAAGGGATATTTAAATAGTTAGGGAGAAACAGTAGAAAAATTCCAGTAAAAGCAATCAGTGATAAATGTTTGACTTTTTTCAAGTCCTGCCCACATATAATTTAAGAATTATTTATATGGTATATAAGGTCATATCAAGAAAACATATTGCTTGATGATGCAAAGTGAATGGTGGGTGAGCAGACAGGACTCGTTCTCCTGCAATACCCAGTGTAAGCCTTTGATGGAGTATGGTGTCCAGTGAAGGGCATCATTCCTTAGAATGATATAGTAATGTAAATGATACATTAAGGATAACGAGCTTAGAAAGCATGACCTAAAGAGGCAAAGTAATAAAAAAAAGAGTTGATTTACAAGAGGGGAAACAAGGAAGTGGGAAGATGCCACCCTAACAACGGTCGTTCTGAAGAGGATTATAATCAATTGTTCACCATGTCTACTGAGGATGTGGCAAAAAGTAATCAGCTTGAATGGAAACATTCAGGTCAGAAACTGGAGAACATTTTCCAGGCCCATGGTTGCTCCAAGCAGAGGAATACATGGAGAGTTGGAAACCCCATTGGCCAACGCTTTTAAGAGTAGGTGAAATGTGTTAGAGAGGGTCTGCATGCAGCTGATCAGACCTCAGAGGGAGCAGATGGTTGAGGGGCTCTTGATCCTCCTCTTCAGGATTACTCTCAGCTGGGGAATAAGACAACAGACCCCATCTAATAACAAAAAAACTCAAACCAAACAAAAAAGAAAAAAAAGAGAAAAGAAAATAAAAAAAAGAAAGAAAAGAAAAGAGAAAAAAAAGAAAAGAAGAGAAAAGAGAAGCTACTCTTGAACTGCAACCCATGAGAGACTCAAGAGCAGCCGTTGGACTGGGACTGGGTCTGCACTATACAGAAAAAGACATTTGTCTCCTCTTCCATTCTCTTTTTTCCAGATTTGTACACAGTTCTGGTACTTTGCTTTTGACAATATGCTGGCAATGATTTAGCGTGAGGAAGGGCTGGTTGAAAAGGTGATTTTTGCCCAAGTTTAATATTTAGTGTATAGTGACTTAGTGGGTGAGCTCATTGAAAGTCTCTCCAGCCCTTGGGTTTGGAAACAAGAAAAGCCATCACATGAGGCTTTTCTTGCCCACTGGGCAGAGGGGGAGGTAGGAAGGTAGAAGAAAGCATTTGGCCCTCCACAGTGTCAGCCCATCAGTCATGGGATTATCCAAGCATGGAGGACAGAGCAGTGTTGCCCTTTCCCTCCAAGATCTTGGCGATCAATCACCCACTTGTGAAACGGAAAAGAAGGAATTAAGAAAAAAGAAAGGGATGAATTCCAGACTGCAAGGCAGGAGTTTGGCAGACACCACTTGAAGCTTTTCCAAGCAGCTAGCTGCACACAGCTTGGATCTGAACTGAATCTCCTTGCAAGAGCCAGAACTAAAGTGCTCTTAGTACCAAACGCTCCATTCCATGTTTGTGGCTGTCCTGTCTGCACTGAGATGGTATGCATTTTGATTGTGCTTTCTGCATAGTCATCTGCACATCTCCTTCTAAAACAGTATGTAAGTCTTAAACTCAAAACCCCACAGCTGATATCTTTACCCCATCTGCTGAGACAGGACACAAGGGACATCATTTAGTCTCTCCCTTGAGGAGAGAAAACATTGTTATTGCTAAAGGTGTGTTGGGTAACACCCCAAATTCTTTCTTCCACGAAATCAATCATCCCGTATATAAACCAGTCTGAACCATAAGAGTAGACTCAGATCTCAAATGCTCTGAAACTTAAGGAAGATGAATCTGAATTTGGCACCTCTGACTTGGTGGTATTAGCAACTGTAAGGGATTTATTTATATTGCTCTATTTATTTTTTTAAAAACGAGCTGCTCCTGAAATTAAGCCTGATTCACCTTCTAAAAGTAAGGGAATAAATCTAGATGTGCTGCACTGAAGTCTAAGGGGTGAGTTTGGTGTAATACAGATGTGAGTGTGAACGCAAACAGGTCTGCGGATTAAGGAAAGAAGGAGAGCAAAAGCCAGGATGGATGCAGAGAGCTTGTTCATGTGACGGACATGGCTGCTATCTCATTTAAGTGTTGAGTCAATGTCCTGTGAGTCATGTGTTTTATCCTAACTGAATGACACTCAGCACCATGCTGGGAGTCAGCACAAAACCTATGCTCCATGTAAGCCCTACCTATATGCTCCAAAAAGAGCCTCATAAACCTGTGGATATTCAGTTTAACAGCCCCAAGCAGCAGCAGGCACCCAGCTCCTTAAACTCTATTCTTGGACATCAAGCTCACAGCACCCTCACTAACAGTCCTCCAGCTCTCTGCTGGGCAAATATGTAATATTTGTAAATATGCAAATGGTGAAACATGCCAGTAACCTCTGCCTGTGCAAAATGAGTTAAAATCTCATGAAAAAAGAGCATGAAA